TGCCGTGGTATAATGCAAATAACATCAATTTTGTACCTCACGACTGCAATCCACCCAATAGCCCAGAGCCACGTCCTATTGGGGAATATTGGTCAATTGTAAAATAAATCTTGCAGAAAACAGGTGAAACAGTGAAAAATATTGAAGAGTGCAAAACAAAGTAAATAGTGGTGCGCATCGCGTAATGTCGATGATGCAGTCGTGCAGAACATGATGACGCGTGTGCGATGAAAATACCGATCACTTGCATATGGAGCAAATAATAACTAATATTTTAACATTTTAATAACATCAAAACTTCCTAGTTATATAATACAAAAAAAAANCCTTTAGGTACTTGTGAAAATTGTTTTCAAGTCAAATCTGTACACATTCGATTAACACCTTATAAAAGAACTAAGAATAACTGTTATTTTTGATCGCAAAAATAAAAATCATAATATAACGATTAAAGAAGTTCAAAAAAAGAAAAATGACATAATAACGATTAAAAATGATCAAAAAATAAAAATCATAAAATAACGATAAAAAATTATCGAAAAAAATAAAAATAACAAAGCAGCGATTAATTTATGATTTTTATTATAAAAATCATAACGGTTACGGTCCCTACCTAAAACGCAGTTTTACTATGACCCCTATTATGGTTCACATCTCAACTTTTTGAAAAACCGCCCATAGCTCAATTGCAAAACCGCACCGCCTATCTTACGGCACTCAAATTTTACAGGAGAGCGAAAAACAAACGGTTTATTCTTTGAAGGCATTGCCTTGATAGGCGGTATTTTCTCTAGCTATTATTTTACAAATCTGATAATAATGATTTTTATGCATAAATCTCGATGCCTGGAGTTCAGGGTTACCAAATCTCATTTTTGCCACAACGGCGATTTAGGCGGGTTTGCAACTGGTCGATGGGCGATTTTGCAAAAACATCGACGATATGTATGTATAAGCAAATTGTTCATCAATTTTTAGTAAATCACTGTCCTTTCCAAACATCACTTCAGTAAAATCCATAGGACAAAATTTACGTATGTATGTTAGTAATTTTTCTAAACACTTTATTTTGAAAGTGCCATAAGTCACTTTATCGTAATGAAAAGTGATGATTTTTCCATAATTACATCAAATTATGTATTTATACGGGAAAAATGTTGGTATGCCAAGATAACAAATACAAGTAAATCTGCTCGAAACTTAGCATTCATATTCTTAAACGGGTTAACCCTTACATATGTATATCGATTTCTAGACGTATCCCTAATTATGTGGATACAACCGTATCTTTTGGCTAAAAACCTCCAAAAATTATTCTTATCAGAATTGGGCTAATTTTTTCCCGCCTTCTTGTGTTTCGCAACTTTTTTTTTAACGCTTTGGGAAGATACTTTAAAAGCTCTGTCACATACAGCTTTCGCGTCGCTTTGGCGTTGTTTCATTTTGACAGCAACGCAAGTAGCGCAAGTGTTTGCTACAATGAATGCTCTGACAGCAAATGTGTTTAGTTTTTGAATTTGAATTTTACGATTTAAAAACATTCAAACATTTTTAAAATGGAAGCATTTGGTCGTCGCGACCCTTATTCGTTTTTTCTTTACACGCTTTTGTGTGTTTGTTAGTAAAAAGTGAATAATTACATTAAGGGAGTGTCAACGCGCGCAAACCGGCAAGAATTAACTAGCGTTCGTGTTTTTGTGGCGTCAGCGTTGCCTATGAGAACTGCTTCATATAAACGTAAGTATGTATTTATCTTAGCTGTCAAAGCACCAACCAACGCCAAAGCAGCACGAAAGCTGTATGTGCCAGGGCCTTAAGTTCGATACCACAAATTCGATTAACCAACTGCTGTTTTTATACAGTACGACCGCCATAAATAAGGTATAATAATGACGAATTTTCCCCAAGTATTGTAAGAACAAAAGTGAAACAAATTGTATTCCATTTAGAAATTATTATGAGAAAATTGATTATAACAACGATTATTGAAATTAAAGTACCGACACCACTTTATGATTTAATTTTTTATCATTTCAATGCCCACTGGAAATATGGCTTAAGAGAGGACAATTTAAAATACTGTATTTTCCAATACAATTAAATTTTCGGTTTCAAATCTCAAATCTCAAACACAATCACAAATTACTTCGAAATTTCCTATAAACAAACCTTAGAGCAGTACAAAACTCACAGGTACACACAAAAATGTACAGTAGAATACGGTGAAATGGTCACATTGCCACATTAAGAAATTCATAGAAACTTTATCTAATACAACAGGTAAGGCTACCTGTAAAATATTGAGTATTATTTACCCAGTCTGCTCTGCTGGGGTTGAGAGATCAAACGAACTTAACTTACTGAGCCGTTGTATTATTTTGACTTTTAGCGAATTCAAAAACGAAATCAATATTTTGCTTAGAACTTCAGTAATTTGTTCAAGAAACTAAATCATATACTACATATAGTTAAATAATATAAATTACCATGTATGTTGCAAGTTTACTTTCTGAAGGAATACCGTTCGAAGGCGGATAAAACAGAGGATCCATTGCAGCTGTATCTGAAAGAAAGACAAAGAATTGTTAAATATGCAACAAAAATTAAGAAAAAGACGCTTACGATATATTGTTAGTGAAGCATTAAGAATAAGTACAAAACTAGTATTCAAATAAAAAGAAAAATCTATAAATAAGAATGTTTACAATTAAGGTACGAGCTAAATATGTTTCTGAAGCGGATTGTCTGGCTACAGAAAAATTTAAATAAATAGCATGAGAAATTGGCTGTACAAAAATGAAAGTAGAGTCCGATCGATTAATCGGCCGATGCCAGGGCTAGTATAGGCCAAAAAAAAATCGACATAGGCCGTTTTTGGCCGATTCTTGACTGAGGTTATGTTATTTAGTTATTTGATTATGTTTTTCTTTTGTAATTATAAAAGTTAATAAAAGCATTTGTTCTTGAAACTAATTTAATTCATATATATGTGAATATAATTTCATTTCAAGAACAAAAGCTTTTATAAATTTTTATAATAACAAAAGACAAAAAACATAATCAAATAACTAAATAACAATATCTCATTCAAGAATCAGCCAAAAACGGCCGATTCATCGGTTGGACTCTAAATGAAAGTTTAGAGTTTTTATACGAAAAATACGCTAAGCGAAAAAGCACTTTGAACGTCGCTGCTAACTGATAAATGTTAGGAGCAATTTTCTCGACAAAAGCGGAGTAGAATTTGGGGAGCTCTAGAGGATCACACTAGGGCATACGGTTTTATAATATTTTTCCATTTCGAATAATCAACTGCTTATTAACCGACTTAAAAATAGGAGAAGGCTATTAATTCGTCAAAATATTTTTTTTTATCTATAACTGTATAACTTTGGACCACGTTAACCGATTTCGATGATTCTATCGAAAAGGTGGGGCCTCAAGGGTTGTCACATACTAATTTGATTTAGATCCCGACATTGGACCATGAAGAAATTAACGATAATCCTAAATGTTTATATGAGAACTGAAGCGGCTATGTTTTTTGCTTAAAAAATTACTTGTTTACATTGATATATTTAAACTTACTACGCGTTCAGTAGCAAACACTTGAAACAATACTAGTGGCCCTATATAAATAACAATCACCTACTTTTGCTGTTTAATTCAGTTGTTTCAGTTTTGTATTTGAGAATAAAAGGAAATGTACGTCGAGTAAAGGCTGAATTAGTGGTGCCATACCACCATAGCCATAACCATAACCATAGCAATTAAATATTCCGATAAAACGTATGCGCAGCTAGGTAAATGTATATTGGTGCCATACTATAACGCCAGAGCCATAACCGTATCCGTAGGTATCTATTTAATATTAGTTTTTCGCCATAACCCATAAGCAGCTCGGAAGTATTTTTCTACGTTATGGCTATGGCGTTATGGCTATGGCAACTCTAATTTGGCCCTTACAAACACAGAATTTTCCTTTGTTTTTAAAATTATGTGACATGAGAATGATGAAAAAGACATATATGTGTATGTATGTATGTACATTAAGGCGTATCACGAAAAAAGTTTAGCGTGTATCAATTTTATTTGAATACTTATGCCGAGAAAAAATTTTGGGAGTAAACATTTTTTTTATGCTTTATTCACAAACAAAAAAGTTATAATGTTTTTAAAATCCGGCAAAACCCGCCACTTAGCAATTGCTAACTTTTGCGCTCTGAAGAATAATTAGTTGTGTTTGTCTACAAATTATTCAGTAACTTGCCAGCAACTCTCCAGTAACTTTATTTCTAAGAATTCGCTCTCATTCAAATAAGTTTTTTTAATTAACTCGGGTGAGTATAGAATTAATTTGCGCGTTTTGGGCACATTTGCAATGCTTTTCTGTTTAAAAAAAAAAAAAATAATATTGTGTTACATCCCGATTTGTGGGTAGCTTGTTGCTGAACAGATTCTTCGGTTCAAAAATCATTTTTTACAGCTGCGATCTCTTCTTCATTGTTTAATAGTCCTGAGCGAAACCTTTTCCACGACATAAATATTTTAAAAATGGGATATCAAATAAGAAAGTTATAGAAAGTAGCGCGATTTAGCGGGTGCATAAAACAAAAAAAAAAATAATAGGGGTATTCTCTGAGTCTTGCAAAGCCCTTGCACGGTGCACGGATTGCACGGTTTGCAAAGCTGTCCCATACGAAAACCGGTTTTTACCGTGCAATCCGTGCAATCTGTGAACCATGCAAGGGCTTTGCAAGACTCAGAGAATACCCCTAATGTCAAAACGGTATTATCCATGCGTGACGATTCTGCTCCCCCTATGTAACGTTTATACTTTGTCTATATGTATTTTAGTCAGGCCAGCCAAGTATCCTTAGTTAGGAGCAAGGCCCAAAATTTTAGCTTTTGCTTGGAATTGCACATTTTGCTTATTCACGGTTTCCAAGCTAAATTTTAACGACCATGCGTATTGGGTTCTTTCTTTCTTCATTAAGTCAATGAAACAATAAGTTTTTACTGACTAGCTAACATTATATAAAAATTTAGAAATACATCATTTTTTGCCCTTTTTAAGATAGTTGCCTTTTTTCCTTTTCTAACTCCGAATTGTAAAGGGCAAGGAAAAATGCCTTGTTCCTGATAATATGAAAGTTTTATACGTTCCATATTTAAATTAGGGGCCACTTGTATCAACTCACGCCAGCGCACGTTTAGTACATTCAAGGCTTTTCTTCGCGAAAATCTAATAAAAATGCTGCCAGAAAAATTAAAAATGCTTATTGTGGTTCAATGTTACTTACAACTATAGAGTATAAAGTTTTGTGAGTTACAAACTCGAAAGGAGAAAGTAGTCAAAGATTCAAAGTAGAAATTTTTAAAATAATGAAACTAGTTTATATTAGTTCTTCTCTTTTTACTTGTAAAATAAACATTTCTAAAATAAATGTTTTGTTTTTTATTTTTCGATAAGAGGGAGTCGCCCTGTCTGAAACCCCGTTTTGTGGCGAACGGCTCGGAGAGGTCTTTCCCAATTCTGACGGAGCTGGTGGTATTGCTCAACGTCATTTTACACAGCCGTATGAGTTTTGAGGGGATGCCAAATTCAGACATAGCGGCGTATAGGCAACTCCTTTT